CCACAGCCCTTACAGAAGCCCCGGAGAGCCTGGGAGACTGGGCCCCAGCCTTGCCCAACCCATCCAACCCAGCTGTGGGCACAGGCCTGGACATTGCCACCTGGGGAGCAGGGACAGACCTCGCCTGCCCAGCTCTGACCGTCATCAAGGAGTCTGGGATGAGATCGCTGAGGGGGGAGGAGGAGGCAACTGGAGGCCCAGACCTGTTCTCCAGACACCTGCCCAGGCCGCCAGCGGGGGCCTGAGCGGTCAACCCTCGTCCCATCCAGTGGGACGGAGGCCAGCTCACTGCAACCTCTGCAAATAGCAAACTGGCGCCACTGGAGGACCAGGTGCTTCCACCACCTCATCCATCCCACAGCACGGACCCGGCACCGCCACAGGCCCTGGGGACGAGGACAGGTAACAGAACGGCCACATCTCCAGAGGCTACGCAAGTCCCGTGCGGTGGCAGGCCCAGCACCCATCGGTGGACACGGCTAACAATGGCAACACAGTGCCCTCTAGCTTGACCACACCCTTCAGCCCCCACCTGCTCCATCCCTGCAGGGACCCTGAAACCTCAGTGTGACCACACGGGCCTGAAGAAGAGAAAATGGAGGCTGGGCGCCAGCCAGGGCGCTGCGCAGAGCGCCAACTCTGCAGTCAGACGGAGACAGAAAGTGCGCCAGGACCTCCCTCCTGGAGCGTCCCAGGCTTGGAGTCCCCATGTGGACGCCATCCAGGGGGCACCACTGCCCAGGGTTACTCGGCAGCTTTTTGGTGAGAACATGCACAGAGCGGCCAGCAGGAAGGGCAGCCACAGAGGACAAGAGGGCTCCCTCCCTGCTGTCTGCTGCGCTGGCCTCATCTCATTTAATCCTTCAACAATCCTACGGGGGGAGGGACATCTTTCCCACGTGACCAACGGGGGAACCGAGGCCGGAAGAGGGAAATGGCTCACCCGTGGCTCCCTCCCCCAGAGTGCGCCCCCATTGCCCCGGGCAGGCCAGCCCAGGGCAGCCTGGGCCACAGGCAGGACTCAGGAAGGAGCCTCTGAGGAGCCGGCTGTACACTGTCCCCGGGGGCCCCTCTGCCTGGTGCGCAGGCCCACAGCAGGTGGCCATAGAGCCTGTCCCCACAGAAACCCCTGGCGTGCACCAGGCCAGCCTGGAGAGTGTCAAGGCGTGCCGCGTCATTCCTCTCCACGTCCCTGCATGATCTGCCTTCAGTGAGCCAACGACAGCATCTCTGAGGCCTGCACAGCTCAGTGCCATGGGGAAGGAGGCAGGGGACCAAGGACACACGGCTGACTGACGGCCACGAGAAGGGAAGAGGCTCCTAAGACAACCAGATCAGGAGTCCTGCCCCCAGGGGACACTGGGCCACGTCTGGGGACATCTGTGGTTGTCACAACTAGGGGGAGCTCCTGGCCTGGAGCGAATGGGATGCTGCTCAGCACTCTGCGGTGCCCAGGACAGGCCCTCCCCAGAGAATGACCCAGTGCAAAACATCCATGGAGCTGAGGTTGGGGAATCCTGATCAAGACATCTGTGGGCCGATCCCAGATCCCAGATCCCAGATCCCAGGGTAGGATCCCCCAAGCAGCATGTTCTCACGGAGCACCCACTGTGTGCCACACACACCAGGTGCTGTGGACACGACAAGATATAATCACGCCAGCAGCAGGGGCAGCAGCCAGCATTCAGTGGGTGCCCACATGCGGCAGAATGGGGATCACCACTGAGTCCTCACCCCACCGCCCCCTGAGGAAACTGAGGCAAAGATCCAAAGTCCCACAGTTACAAGCAGCAGGGGTGGGTTCTGTACAAGAGTCTCCCCAGGCCACGTACCTGACCTGGACACCACACTGCTCCCAGGCCCTGCGGATGGCCCGAGGCCCCGCCCACCCGTGCTGTACTGAGAGTGCCTGGCAGCCGCAGGAGGACTGGCTGGACCAGAAACCCTGATAGCAGAGACCAACGAGGCCTTCTGACCCACAGGGAGGGAGTCGGGGCGGAGGGCGGGAGACTGGACCACTGACATCCTGACGGGTGAAGTGGACAGGCACAGGTGACAGTGAGAGTCTGGATCCAGAGCAGCCAATTCCAGACAGCCCAGAAGACCTGCCAGGTGCCCTGTGGAGGACAGACACAGCGGGAGGCCCCGGGGAGGAAATACTCCACGCAGGGCCGGGGGCACGAGCTACTTGGATCTGCAGCCACCCCCAAGCCAGCAACCCAGCGCTGAGGATCCCGGTTCTGCCAAAGGACTTGAGTCCTGCCAAATAATGACCTTGCACGTAGACCTTCCTGGAGCCCTTGGCCGTCCTAGTCGCATCCACCGCTCTCAATCACCAGGTGGGCAGGCCGCACGAGGCTCCCCATCCTCCACTCACAAGCTGGGGCGCCAGAAGGGGCACTGGGTCCCCGCTTTGTCCACAGGGTAGGGCTGGGCAGGCCCGCGACCGCCCCTCTAAGGCCCAAGGGACTTTGCCGCACACCTCTTCGAGCTCCCGACGCCAGGGCGACTTCCCCGTGCTGCCCAGGGTCCCCGTCCCAGAAGGAGCGGGCTCCGCCACAAGACTCAGAAAGTGAAACCTCTCGTGGTTAAATCTCGGGCGGAGGCACTTCCTCCACTCTCACCGCAGCACGAGGCTCAGGAGGGGGGGTGCTCCACGGAGCTCACGGCTGTGGACCGGAGCTCCCCAGACCGTGCCTGGAAAAGCAGACCCTTCCAGCAACAGTCATCATAACTGATTACATGTAAACGCAGAGGACGTGAGAGCGGGCCCCGGAGCGAGTCCCCACATCTCCCAGCCTGGGCTGGGGCTCGGGGAGTCAAAGCTGGACGAGGCCATCCAAGGGCGCTTCCTGCTCCCGGAGTCTTCTGGGACACGCACAGCCACCCTGCCAGGCGCCAGAGGCCACGCTCCACGCCTCCCAACACTGGGCCAACAGAGGCCCAGCCCTTCCCGTGGGGCCACCGCGCCCCATGCTGGATCCCGGGCCTTGTCGCTGCCCCGTGGGGGCCGGCGCAGGCAGGACAGGAAGCCTCCGGAACTAACCATCCGGCTTTATTTAGAAAGCCTGGAGCCACTCCGGCTCAGCCCCGCTAGCAGCCTCAGGCCTCCAGGAACAGGCTTCCCATGGAAGGCCTCACAGTTCCAACCACAAACCTGCTGCAAGGAACTGCCCGGGGCCCCCTCCATAGTTCACCGGCGAGAAGGAAACGTAACAGCCAAGAACTGCCCTGTGAGAGGCAGAGGCCCAGCCGGCCTGGGGAATGGGGCCCCAGGATGACGGCCGCGCAGCACGGCCGCCGGAGCAGCACATATGCTAAGCGCAGCGTACATGACCGTCACTCCCGTTCCCATCCACAGCTGTCCCTGCCATCCACGGAAGTGTTAATAAGATCAAACCTGAAACACCACAGGTATAAAACAATGTACGTATACACATCCACTCAGAAGTGACTTCACGCACACATGGCTTTGACCGTACATAGAGAAATACTCAAGGCCAGCATGGCGGCTCACACCTGTAATCCCAGCACTTCGGGAGGACGAGGCAGGTGGCTCACAAGGTCAGGAGATCGAGACCATCCTGGCTGACACGGTGAAACCCTGTCTCTACCAAAAATACAGAAAAATTAGCCGGGCAAGGTGGCACATGCCTGTAGTCCCAGCTAGTCGGGAAGCTGAGGCAGGAGAGTCTCTTGAACCAGGGAGGCTGAGGTTGTAGTGAGCTTAGATTGCAACACTGCACTTCAGCTTAGGTAACAGAGTGAGACTCTGTCTCAAAAAAAAAAAAAAAAAAAAAAAAACTCTAAGCACTCATGAAAACTGCTAAGAAAATAATTTGCGCTGATTATCCATCAGCTTTGCCGCGAGCTTCTTACGTGGTATGCCACCACTCGGCAAAGAGTCTCAAACGGGGCGACGTGCGCCCCAGGGACGATGAGCCCTGTCTGGAGACATGTGTGCTTATGACCTCGGGGAGCTCCTGGCATGGAGTGGGTGGAGGCCTGGGACGCTGCTCAGAGCCCTGCAATGCCCAGGGCGGCCCCACCCGACTGCGCACAGGGCCCCGGGGAGACCTGCTGTGTGTAACGGAGGGGCCCATCTGAGGCGTGAACAGCACATGTGAACCGCCGTGGGAGAGGAGGCACGGCAGCTAGAGCCCCGTCCAGCTCTAGGGCTCGATACGGTCTGTCCACACCCGGAAACAGGGCATGGAAAGTCCTCACAGGCTGACCCACCTCACAGGCCGTGTGCAGCCCGAGGAAGGCAGCTGGGGAGAGCTCATGGACACGGTGTTCTTCCAGAACACGCTCCTCCTGGTTGCAAACCCAGGCATCGGGCAGGACCCTGGAACCCTGCGGCCCCGAGCCTGGAAGGAACCAGCACCACCCCCACACACAAGACACTCCCGGGGCCCAGATGCCACAAGACGGCAGGCCTCTGCCTCCCCAACATCCACTCCACAGTGCGGCACCGGAGCCACGGGGGAGAAGGAGGGCTGGAGCCCCACCGCTAAGGGGCAGGGGAGGAAACAATTCCAGGGAGAAGCAGGCCCGGCCGAGCTTGGCCTCCTGCACAGCGCCAGGACCTCCACCCAGAGGTCTCAACATTTCATGGGGCGCAGGCAACAGAACCACCTGCTGCAGCCCAACAGCCCTTCCTCCCGGGGAGCCGCGGCCTCCCCTCCAGCTGCTCCCTAAAAAACGAGGCAATCACAAGCTCGGGGCTGGCCCATTGGGAAAGTGGAATGAGTTCCCACAAGCAGGCAGGGAGCCTGGCAGAGGTCCTCTCCCCTGTACCCCGGACCCCAGCCCCCGGACATCTGGTGGTCAAAGTCCTCGAAGCAAGGGACTCTCCAGCTGGGACACAAGGTGGCTTGGACAGGAAGTGTTCTGAGGGTCTGCGCATCAGATTTCCAGAGGGCTTCCTGGCCCCAACACCTCGGGTGTGAAGCCTCCCCAACCCCCTGGCAGCCCCCGGCCCTCTGCTTGGCACTGACACCTGTCCTCCTTGGGTTGCATGTGAGCTCACGTCTTCCTCACTGTCCTATCTGCCCAGCCTGGCCTGGGCCTGACAGCAACCTCCCATCTTACAGGCTGATGGGGTCAACTTCCAGGCTCACACAGAGGGGTGGGACGGCAGAAATCCCCTGGGCACAGGTGGGCACCGGACAGAGGATGCGAGATGGGTCCCATCATTCCCAGACTCGCTCCAGGTAGCCATGGCTGCAGACATGGGGGCCCCTGACCTTCGTCCTTGAACCCCGTGTCAATCTCAAGTCCAAAGTGCAGGCACAGAAGCCTGGGTGCACGAGGGAAAGGCAGCAGGGGTTCCAGAGGTCACAGAGCTGCAGGGCAAATCCATCTGGTAAGATCTTTATGACACCAGCAATTCCTAACTCCCCTCCTTCTACACAAAGTCCACGACCCACGGCAAAAGCCAGCCAGTGCCACTCTGTCCAAAGTGCCACCATGCAGGCCCCCTGCACACTTCCTCCAAGTGTTAGGGACACGGCTCTGCCTACCCGCATCCCCTGGAAAGATGGCCCATTTTAGAACCCTTAGGGAAATTAAAACGCAAGTTTGGGGGGAAAACAATCAGGAAGGCATTTCATCCAAGGCACCTCTCTAACGCGGGACATTGGAGGGTGACGGCAGGAGAGGCAGTCTGCTCCCTGCACAACAGGTGACCTGTCTCCCCAAGAGCCGCCACCACCAGCACAGGCAGGGCTGACCCCGGAGGGCCCCCTCCTCCTCCATCACTGCTGCCTCTGCAGGCATTTCAGACCTTCCCCACCGCCCCTCCGGCCCAGGAGCTCACCTAGGATCTCAGGAGGGTGGGGGTGGGGCAGGGCAAGGGCTTGTTTTGTAAACGACTGCAAGGGCCCTTATTTTGGGTGACAACACTTTACAGCTGGCCCGATTGGCTTCCTGCAGCAGGTGTGCCTTGGGGAGAAGGAGGCACACCGCGAACCCTCTCCGGGAAGGTGGGGAGGAGCCGGGATGTGGGGGGCTGCTCCCCACTAGGGCTCCGCGTGGCTCCCACCAAGACTGTAAGGAAGGGGGCGGGGGAGGCTGCCGAGGTGGCTGCTTCTGAGAAGGCGCAAAGGCTCCCTCAGGTGCCAACCGCCCCACCCTCGGCTGAGCAGAACCCTGAGGAGAGGAAAGACGGTCTTGTTCCCACAGGGCGGATTCCAGCCGAGAGGAGGATGGGATTTCCCGGAGCAGGAAGGCAGGAGGACAGCCCCTAAGGGAATGGGGGGATAGGGGGCGCGAGGAGTCTTCCAGTGGGTGGACGGGGCCTGCATGGAGGGAACAGGGCTCTGCCTGGTGGGAAGGGTCAACGCGGGGCCCTGGGAGGTGAGGGGTAGATGAGACCCGTGGGTTACATCCCAAAGCTCTGGCCCTGAGATGCTGGGGGGGGGGGGGTAGCCGGGGGTGGGGGTAGCCAGGGGTGGGTACTCGGCGAAGTAAGGTCAGAGGGCTCCTGTGCAGGGAGGGGACTGGTCTCTTGAAAAGGGACAGAGGGCAAATCCTGAAGGGTCCTGCCCAATGTGGACGGCAGAAACTGGGAGCTGACCTGAGAGGGATGAGGGCCTGATCCGGACAAGACAGACAGGGTGGACCCCGGAAGGTCCCTGCTGCCAACATGAACAGTTAAGGCAGGGGCGGACCACAAAGAAACCTGGGCCCCGGGGCTGACCCCGGAGGATCCCAGCTGCCGACCTAGACAGCAAAAGCAGGGCTGACCCCGGGGGGTCCCGCGACCCGGACGGCACAGGCAGGGCTGACCCCGG